TTTTTTTTTTTTTTTATCTGTGCTACATTAAGAAGTATCTCTGGACAGAATAGCAAAGTCAGCAGATAAAGCATCAATACCCATCTAGACCAGTAGGTGGGAGGTTGTGGGGGGAACGAAATCTCAACCTTGACTTCCTATAATTTTTGAAGTGCTTGGATATGATAATAAAAGTGGATCAGATAGTTGGCTATTTCTGCACACCTACACCAGACCTCTCTTAATGACAATTTAACAGGGAAAGGTCATATACAATCTGAAACTCAAGATCACTTCAGATTATATATGTGGAATGCAAATTCTCATTTTCTCATCCTCTACTATGATGATAATGTGATAACACTTCAGAATTTGGAAACCCTATTAGCATTGAATACTCCATTACCTCACCCTTCAGATGTCTGCATTAGAATACTGTCTTCCAAGTGCTCTTCCTCCACTATTAAAACATGGTGCATCATACCTCTAGGTCTAGGGCTACTGACAGTGAATAATAATCTTATTTGGATTTGGCTTTTGTTTCTGCTTTAAATGATCTTTTGAATAGACTTCTCAGTTAATCACATTAACCATTTCTTTATATACTCCGTATGGCTTGTTTCTAGGTTATTCACTTTAATGAATATTTGCATACATCATTTTATTTGGCGAGTCACCTAAGCTAAATGATGTGTGCTGCCTATTTGGATGACTTTTATAAATAAGACCTCTGACTCTGTCAGCATATTCTTACTTTTTCTTTTGCTTCCATGATAATCCTGTAAACTTTCTATTAGTCACAAGAATCTGTTCTCTGATCCAGTTATTAAATACAGTTATGAAAAAGGTCACTGTCTATACCTCCTCTTCCTACCCCCCCAACCCCAAAAGAAAGAAAGAAGGGTCTCTAGCCAATCTTGTTAAGCATAGGGGAATCTGCTTACTGCCAACTTCTAATAACAGGCATGGAAAGAAGGTATACAATTCGGGAAGTAACACTAGCAAAGATGCAGAATTTATTTGAGGGTGTGGTTGCCTGGCACAGTAAGTTTGTAATGCCAACCTTCTTTCATCCTGTGAAATCATCCTTATTTTACAAGGCCACCTAAGCTAAATGATGTGTGTTTTAAAGACAATTGTAAAAGGACAGTAATACTGTTATTCCTACTCAAAAAAGGCCTCAAAACCACTCTTGTGCACACAATTTGTAGTTAGCCAGAGGCTA